CCAGGAAGACGACACATTCTGGCATAAGCTTAGTGTTTTAACATCCTAAAGCTACAGAAAGCATGACATTTTCAAGCTTATATTTAAAAGCTTTAATACATGTGATGTAACAACATATTTATTTTAAATATGATTTTTTAAGTCTGAAACTGTGTCCCCTGAATTTCAAAACACTGTTCTGGTTGTTCAGGCCTTGACGGAAACCAGTTTATTTACACATTAACAACATACTACTAAAACTCTCTACCTAAATGTCCATCTGAACCACTTAGAAGCCGTGGAAGTAACGTACACCATGGTTTATTGAAAAGTATTTCCAAAAAAAAGGTCTGACCAGAGTCACAAGAAGCAGAGCGCACTGCTGAAATAAAAAAAAATAATAAAAAATAAGGATGGAAAAATCCTACAAAAGCAGCAACAGTGTGCTCACAGGACTGATCACAGAACCACATGGGGTTGGAAGGGACCTCTGGAGATCACCCACTCCAACCCCCTGCCAAAGCAGGTCCACCCAGAGCAGGTTGCACAGGAACGTGTCCAGGCGGGTTTTGAATGTCTCCAGAAAAGGAGACTCCACCACCTCCCTGGGCAGCCTCTTCCAGGGCTCTGCCAACCTCAGAGTGAAGAAGTTCCTCCTCATGTTTGGATGGAACGTCTTATGTTCAAGTTTGTGCCCATTCCCTCTTGTCCTGTCCCTGGGCACCACTGAAAAAAGACCAGCCCCTTCCTCTTGACACCCACCCTTTAAGTATTTGTAGGCATTGATCAGATCCCCCCTCAGTCTTCTGTTCTCCAAGACTTCCAAGTCCCTCAGCCTTTCCTCATAAGAGAGATGCTCCAGGCCTCTCATTATCTTTGTAGCCCTTTGCTGTCCCCTCTCCAGCAGTTCCCTGTCCTTCTGGAACTGGGGAGCCCAGAACCGGACCTAGAACTCATGGTGCAGTCCTAATGCTAACAGTGGTGAAGAACAGCTGGAAAGCCAATACAGTGTTTATTTGCAAATAAAACACACAGCTCTACAAAGACAATCCTATACTCAAAGAGCACAAGCCCTTCTATGTACCTGAAAATACACCTTGGTGATAACACCATAACGGCCACTGGGAAGCCATCACCGCTCAGTGAAGAGGGAGCTGGAGTTTACACCTTTAAGTAACTACAGATCTGAACAGATGAAGCAAAATGTTTAAAACCGTGCCAAGATTTACAAGATGGGAACTGCAAGTTTCTGCAGGGAGCTGCACGTGCTCCAAGAGTCTGAAATCCAGGTTAAAGTATCTGGATAACTAAGTACTATACTTCCCTATGGGAGAAAATTCGGTCTTCAAAGTGGAATGTAAAATTGAATCTGTTTTACGATACTTTTTCCCCTCAAAAGAACAGAAGTTCTGCCCATTATTTTACCAAGCTCCTTCAATTCCAGGGGAAAAAGTTCTGCTTCAAAGAATGGAAGCAATCCAAAGAAATGGCAGACGAGTCCATTGCAACAGAAACATGTTTATTCCATAGCACCTTGTTCACCTGAGTTTCCTCCCTATAGCAAGGAATACCCAGTTCGCAGCAAGGAACAATTATCCAAGTATTTTTTAAAGCTTTTCTTATAATCTGCAAGTAAGAGCTGGATTTAAGTGCACTCCAAGCTTGGCTGGTGTCTACTTTGTCCCATGCAATGGATTTCCAGACACCAGATGTGCCACACTGTGTTGTGCAGACCTGGTCCTCAGTTTGCTGAGCCACCGAAACCTCCTGGGATTACGCCAGGGAAGCACCAAAATTCAGCCAGTTTTAGTGCCAGAGCTGGGTGATACCTGTCCTAAATTACCCTAGAGAGAATTATGGAATGGCAGACACGAGCACTAAGTTGGTACAGCTGCTGTCACACAAAAAAGATCTGAACCACAAGTTATTTTCCAAACACTTGCACCCTGTATCTTGAAGAAGAATTTATTTATTTTAAACTTGACTCTAAGAGAGGGCAATCATCCAGATTATTAAAAACAAGAGTCACAACGCTATTTCCAGGAAAGGCTCCCTACCACGAGACTGGTCAGAGCAGTCAGTTGGTGTCTAATCCAAGAGAGCAGAAATAATATCAGGACTTCATAAGATTAATACAAGCAAGAGTTTGTGTTCAGGCTTTTGTAGGCATTAAAGACAGCAAAGGCTGTTTTCCCACTACCTCTGATTCCATCCCCTCCTGTGAATCAGAAGTGGGCTGGATGTACCCTGTCAAGGTATTGGTACAAACAAGCTTTTTAATTTAAGAACTCCCTTACAAAACATGAATTCAAAATAAAAGCACAAAACCACAGCGAAAGCAAAGGATTTCTTCGATTTGTAAGAGATTATGCACACCAAGCACAGAAGAATTATTGGGATGCACAAACCAAAGGCTGTTTTCCTTGCACAACGTGAGAAGAGGTTCAGGCTGCAACGCTTGAGCTGCGCAGCGCATCAAATTAATCCAGTTAAAACAGGTTACATTTAAACCAGCGGCTAAAACACACCACTAAATTACACAAATTACCACATCTGAGCAGTCTCATGGTAACAGACCATGTGCATTCTTTTCATATTTCACAGAAAATGCAAGGTAAAATGCAAGTATGAGATCATACACACGAGGTTTAAGCAAACACACTTCCCTCCAGTGCTTGTGACAGGCCAGGGACATGCACGTAACCATTATCATAGTTCAGCTGATGTGTGGTAACACACTAAAATGATTTGCTTCTATGTCTGAGCTTTAAACATTTACTGGTAAATCATTTAACCTGCTACAAGTTCGAGGATGTAATCACACCTTTACGTAAAAGCATGAGTGTAAATTATCACAGTTTTGAAGAATCTAAGGATGACAGTTTATATGTATGTTTTCATAAAGGTTCTATTCTAAGAAATCTAGGCATTAAAAGGCAAAATGATTTACAATACACAAAAGAAGTTGTTTACATAGTATCTTCCAGAACTGATCAGTTCTTCTATATAATTACCACCTGTAATATTTTTAAATGGACAAAAATATACGTATTATAAGCAAATCAAATCTTCTCAGTCATTCCGCTCAACACTAACATGTACTGTCTTGCAAAAAAGAGTACTAAAGCTACTTAAATCCATGCAAATATTGAAGGCTGCCTTTATTCCCTTCAAGTAACTGCAGTATGATGAACCCACTGAAGTTATATCTACATCAATGGTCCAGATCACACTTTAATACTTCACACAGCAGAACTGAAAGCAACTGATTCCCCTTAAAGAGATATCGATGTTGAAGGTATTTAATAAAGGGCATTAAACAGCAGATAAAAATGCTTCATCTAAATTTATAAGCCCATATTTAACATGATTAAATGATTTTCCTCTCTAAATAACTATTCAATTTAGGAGACTATAGCATGGTTACCATTTCTTTTTCTTCCTATCTTGTAAGAAACCCACCTGCTGCTTGATCTTTTGATCTCAGGACACTTTAAGCTTTTCTCCCCAGAGACTTGCTTTATATTTCCTTACATAGTTTCACATCACATTGCATTCTATACCAATTAGCTACCATTCAGTTCTTTACTTGATTTCTTCTATTGCAGGAGACAATTGTGAATCAAACATGAACTAGCTTGGAAAAATGGGGTAAAATGCTGTTAACAAAGTTGAGACCAGCACGTTACACTTGAATTTTGGTGCCGAGTCATAACATGAAAACTAATTCTTCACTAGAGGGGACCCAACCTCAGCAAAAACATACCCCCATCCTAGAAAAACTACAATCTGCTTGGATGCCTTTCAGTTCACTAAACTGTACATTAGCTGTGGTGTAGCACAAAAATGCAATTTTATTCTCTAACACCGCTGATGTGTGATCGCCTTCCTCAATGCAGCGAGCCAACACCACAAAGAGTGATCAAAATCTGTTAATTAGTGACTATTATCAAGGAATACCCGCTTTGAGCAATGTTAACAACTGCTTTCTTCTAATTGACAGAGAGATTGTGAAACATGAATTCAAACCTATGAATTTGAAAGACCAGGTGCCCATCAATTCAACAGGCAGTTCTAAACATCAAGGTTCCTTTTAGAAAAAGCTTGATGATTGACTTCAGGACATATCCACATCAACTCTCCAAAAGATGAAATAACTACTTTATGTCTTTAGATCAAAAGGTGATTTCTGATTCACAAGTACTTTACAGTGCATGTGCTTGTTCCCCTGCTGTGTAAAACACACTGTTCTAGCCAACAGCTTCTAAAACTTGTCTTTACTTTCGACTACGGGTATTTTTAAGAATGCAGTTGCCACAATTTCCTAAGGGCCCTGCAGTATTGTACATCAGAAGGTAATCCACAGGAATCTTCATTAAAAAAAAAAAAAAGTTTGAGAATTCTTGCTCTCACAAATGCCATACTGAGGGCAATTTTCTGACAGATTTTTTTTCCTGTTTTTTTTTTTTCCAGTTTTCAAGCAGGTCAGTTCCATGACCTGCTCAATCCCAGGAAAGAAGCTCAAATCCATGAGCTTCAAGTGGAAAAAAAAGAAAAAAAAAAAAAAAAAAAAAGGTATCTGAATAAGGCCACCTAGTCAGGCACTTATCAGAATGCTACCACCCACTTGAGCTGTTTTCTACACAGGAAATGCATTTCACTAAAAACAGAATTTACTTTCTTTATCCAAGGCCAATTATGCAAGTCTCAGACAAAACTTCCAGCTAAGGGGGTGGAGGGAAAAGAGAGAGAGAGAAAAAGCAATGTGAAAATAAAGATAAGGTTGCTACCTTATAAAATCAATAATGGTTATGTGGAAATACCATACCTCTTCTTACCTCAACAACTCTATCAGTTCTCCCTTCCCTAATTCATTTTTTCCATTTGATAATAAGTTACCCAAAAACTTCTTCCAGGGAGGGTTGGGTGGAGGGAAGGAGCCCTATGTTTAGAAGTCTGTAAATACTTTTATATTATTTCACCTTACAGTGTTACTTAGAGACTTAACAAGAAAAAAGTACCTCGTAAAACCTGGGAGGATAGTAAATTATGCCTAATTACCGTCGACACTCTCCTGACTTGAATTTCCTCCTGTTGATAAGTGTTACACGACCAGTGCTGGCTGTCGAGGAGCAATGTGCTGTCCTGTCCCTCAGTCTTCTTTCTGCAGAGAAGAAAAAGAAATTTTCTTTTTAGTGACTTGGCAAGCCTAAAGGTTTAAGAAAAAAAAAAAAAAAAAAAAAAGAGAAAAAAAAAAAATTTTTTTTTTAGTGACTTGGAAGGCCTAAAGGTTTAAAAAAAAAAAAAAAAAAAAAAGAGTGCAGGAAACAACCTACATTCAATAAAACAGCAAAAGACATCAGAGACCAGCCAATGATTAACTCCACCACAGTCAGCAAATAAAAGTCAAGGAAGATTCCTCTGGGAAAGAACCAGAAGACCTTACGCAGCCTTCTTGTGTTCCTTCCGTATGTACAGAATGCAAAACCTGACAACTGTGTAAACACAGCACGTACATTTAATGCCATATTGGCAAAAGACACGCCACTGCTTAAGCCATGGTCTAATTAGCAAAAGGTAACTTGAACACTATGGAGATGGTTCCCGTATAATGCGTGTTCTGTGGCAATTAAGTATGTTTATTTAGTTATCTACTCCCTGCTCTAGTCCTCTATATGATAATAATGATGAGAGAAGATCAATTTCCAAAAAGAATTTCTCCAAATTTAAATTATCATGAACATATTTATCTTCTGACAGGGAACATAAAAAAAGACATAAATTTTACAATCCTGGAAAATACAATCGGAGTTAACTGTTACAGGGCAGCACAGCTTTATTCTAGAAACTGTTCCACTAAAGATGCTCTACCAGGAAAAGTAACAAACAGCTTCAGTAGTTCTTGAAGCCATTTACGCTGTTGCACTTAATAACCTGAAAAATCATACTCTCTCTCAAGCTACCAGATCCAAGACCAAACTCCAATTCCTAAACCATTTGCACCCTGAGGATTATAAATTGCTCAGTTTTGGCTCTCCAAACTCTGTCTTTACAAATATTAGCCAATTCCCAAAGTAGTTTTTTTTCCTCAAGATAAGGCACGGGGATGTATGTTCTGCAGTTTTCCTGGAACACTGTAAGAAATCACTGTCCCTGTAGCTCATTGAGGTAGTTTACAGCCTAAACTGGCAAACTTTGCCCCGAGCCAGCCAGCAGAAGCTCACCGCTTCCTCCAGCCAACACAGCAGAGCCATTGTTATCTTTCCCAGAAAGGTGATACTGTCTTGAAGTCGCAGATGTTTCTGAAGTCGCAGCCTAATAAATGTTCCTCCTGAACTACTTTTAATAAGACACGGGCGGAAAAAAAAAAGAAAATAATAAAAAGCAACGCTGGAAGAGTGAATCTTGAGCAAACGGAGGCATTTTCCACATCAATCAAGATACGGGGAACAATGACAAACTTACATTAAGATTGAAATGGACTGAGGGCTCCGAGCCAGTGGTCTGTCTTTGCTGGTCAATACACAGAAAGGATTGTGTTAGCACCACTGAAAGAATAAATTATCGCTGCTTTTACAATAAGCTCTTCAAGAATGCAATAAAGAGTTCAGTGTGTGCTCCTCACTCAGGAATCCAAAACTTTTCAGTTAAGGTCTGGCTTGCAGCAAAGATAACAGCTGAAAACTAACCATCTTGACCTTGGTAAGCTTCATGACAACTTGCTAAAAACAGGTGAAAAAAAATATGAAACAGACAAGGTTACTTCTCTGATATTCACCGGCCTTGAAACCAGAGCAATGAGCAACCACAATTTTAAATACTGATAGCTCAAGCCTGATTGTTTTGAGAGACAGCAAAATTAGAAGTGAGAAAGGTAATTTTTTTAAATTCCCCTAAAGTCTCTTGACTGCTGCAGTATTACTAATATTGAAGTTTTATCATCTGCTTTCAGAGATAAATTTAAAATTATTCTCTGATCAAATGAAGACAGGAAATCAAGAAAATATGTAACTAGGGAAGGCATTTTTACAGTATTTCATATCAGCGTATGACATTGATGCAGAATATTGTAAGAAGGCCTTCTCAGTTGCATATTTTCTTCAAAGTCACAAGCTTACTTCTACACTTTGACAAATTGTCTTACAAGTTGGGTAAATAGCAGGTCATCAAATAAAAGTGCCAGTTTCAGTCTTCCAAGCAAAAAAAGTGTATTTTAATTTGCTTGAAATTCAAAGGGATTGAAACGGAAAGGGATTCCCAAACCTTTTTCAATAATAGGAGTACAAATGGGTCCACAAATATATACACAGTTCCCCTCAAACGTGCTGCATTCTCAGTGGGGGTCTGCCAAGGCCAAACTCTCCTGAGCAGAATGCTGGAATGTTTACTGTTTGCACAGTACATGTGAAATTCTGTTTTTTTTTTTTCCTTAAGGACTCACCAAAACTTTCCTAAAAATAAACATAAAAGATGAAGGATTGTTGGGCATGGGTGTGACAACCCACACAGTCAACATGATGCAAATGCTAACCTCCAAAAAAACCCAAACAAAAGACCGTTAAATGTGTTACATAGAACTTTTATAGTCAAATTCACTGTAAATCTGGTTTCAGTACAGCATCAAAGAAAGATGCAGTTTGCGATCAAGGGTTGTGGCAGGAAATGCATTTGTGTAGACAAAGTTATCTTTATTCTCTCCAAAGGTGAATACACCAGGAGTTACCCCTTTAAACTATTCTAACATCCAATTCCTCAAAACCATTGGCAAGTAAAACACTGTAGTAAAATTAACTACCTAATTTTACAAACAGAATTAAGCTACCCTAATGTAACAGGAATGAAAATGGCCTGCAGTATCTATTTGTGCAGGTAAGAAGCCCAAGCAGTTGAAATTATTCCATTTTGCAGTCAAAGAAGTGCTTAGTTGTAGTTAAGGCCAAATTTTTCAAAAACTTGCTGCAACAGTACTGAGCCTACAACCCAGTGAACAACTTGTAATAGCTTGCTCCAGGAGACGTTTCAGACGGTCAATACAAGTCCTGTTTATTCACAGACTGTATTAAGAATCACAAACCAAGGTCCAGGATACCACTAAAAACACAAAGTAGATAGCTAGGATCAAATAAATCCAATATTCTGCAAAGCTGAGTTGAAAGCAAAGAACAAATTATTCCCAGACAATAACAGCATTCCAAAACTTCCAGAGATCTGGAACACAGTAAGGTAAAAAAAGACCTAAAAGAGGACAATGTAATAGCTGGCTGTTTTTCAGCATGCATGATTACACACACAGAGCCTTGAGAAAGTCAACATCTTTCCTATTTTACCACCTTATCCTTTTTCACATACAAATTACATAAAACAAGGAAAGGAATGCAAGTGTGGGAAGCAACTCGGGTTTTTGCTTCTTACTCCCAAAGATACTGAACAAAACACAAAGTACTTTCTTTTACACTGGATATTAACTCCAAGGTCAATTTATTGGCTTAAAAAACAGAGAGGATGCTTCCCTGGTTAAAATGCTAATCTGAGTCTCAGGAAATCTAGATTCAATTCCCTGCCTCACCACATACTTCCTGTGTGACCTTGGGCCATAAATATTTCGGTGCCTCAGTCTTTCCATCTGCGACTGAGATAGTGTTTCCCTATTGAAGCGAGTGTCATAAATACATTAGAAGAACTGGAGGAATCACAGGCCATAGGTGTACCTGGACCAGCCTAGAGAAAGAACTTATCTGCAGCTGCACTGGGTGTCAATATTCACAATTAGGCATCAGATAAAGCAAGGAAGGACTGCCCGTGTTAAAAACCTAGCCACCCCAGGGCAGAAAAGAGGCAAAATATTTCAAGAATGGCTAGAGACTGAAACATGATATAACCCCAATTATGAAAATAAATTAGCTTTACAGAAGATTTCCGTCATTCCAACAAGAAGTCCAAAAGTTAAAAAGAAACAAAACTCAGAAACCAGCTGAGAGCGAGTTGCTAAAGGAAGCAGATACACCTGCCAGCAGCGGGTTATTACCCTGTTTTCTGAGATGACTGCGATGTGCTGTGCACGAAACTCCACAAATAAGAGGCAGAAGAGGGGCTGCTGAGGCTT